GACTCAGCCCTTATGCTTATACGAAAGCACAAGCCAACCTCAGGTCGTATGATTGTATGTGCATTTACCAAGTTGTAAATATGACAGTGACAAAACCAAATAATGCTAGGGGTGACTTACAACCACGAGCCAACAAGATCATAGTTGAACCCATCACCCCCCCACACCAGGGGAAAATTACATACTTTCCGCTGAGGTAGGAAGGCTTGTAGAAATGACAGACCCAGGCCAAACCAATTCAAAGGAATAGCAAACCCAGACCAAAATTCGACACTAAATATATAGGCATAGGGAGAAGGGGACAACTCAACCTGACACAACAAAACAAAAGGGACAAGTAGGGGAGAGGAACAAAAAAAAAAGTGTGTATATATATCTTTGAGAATATAGGTGTACTTGCATACAAATGTGTGCATGGCCCACTAAAATAAAAAAGTATAGAAGAACACAAATGACATCTCATTCTCCCCCCACGTCTGGGACTAGCCCACGAACCTTAAAACTCCACGCAGTTTCGTTCTTTCCCCCCCGCCACCCCCAATCGACTTGCTTCCAGATATACCTCCACGAAGCAATCTTAAGCTTATATGCGGTTCCACTCCATGTACTCCGCGAGCCCTTTATATTGCAGTAGAATAAAAACAGTAGCTCTAACTAACGATTACAAAAATAATCAAAACAAACGAAAAAAAAAAAAGACAATAAAAGTAACATTCACACTCACACACGATCCCCCAACCCTCATTTTAACGGGGTCACTTAAAAGTAGCCCTCTGTAGACTACGGGACTTCTCAGGGGCAGACCCCAGTTGTTTTCATAAGTGCCACAGAGCAACCGTTGTTAACTTACATCACCCTAACTCTTGGACTTATCGACCAACACGACTTATTGTATATAGTTCTGTTAATATTCTGTTAACGTTTAAATTGTATGCCAATCTCACTTGTTGCGGTAGCATCTACCTATCTATGATATTTTGCTAAAAAAAACAAAAAAACGACGTTGCGCTCACCATAGGTTGAGCCAATTCTCTCAGGCAGGGTGTCTCATATACAGTAACCACAAGACCAGACACAGGTGCCCTAACCACACAATCCCAATATCCCCTCTCCCGCCCCCTCTATCCCTGAACCTCTAGCTATGGCAACAATATCGGTGCTTTCCCACAATGCTAGGGGACTGAATACCCCCGAAAAACGCCACATAGCCCTCACAGACTACCACAAGCACAAAGCGGACTCATTTTCGTAAAGACTCGGCCCCCTCTTTAAAATCTAGACACTATACTAAGGGATATTTTAGCAATTACACAAACTCCAAATCTCAGGGGGTAGCAATACTCCTTTCACTTACCATTCAAATACAAAGAACATATGTCAGATGATAATGGAAGATATATATTCCTAAAAGGCCTAATGGGATCAACTCCAATTACACTGGCCAACGTCTACCTCCCCAATAGAAAACAATTCCAGGCCCTACGCAAAATAATCAAGAAACTAGAAACTTTCACTGAGGGCATGCTGATCCTAGGGGGCGACCTCAACACTTCACTAGATGGAGCACTAGACACTACATCTCTGGCCCAGACTTACCAAATCTCCACACGGGTACTTATTAAAAAACTCTTCGATTCATACCAGCTCTTTGACTGCAGGCGAGTTCTACACCCTACCGAACGAGAATACTCATACTATTCATCCTCCTCAGGCTCGTACTCACGGATTGATTTGTTTCTCATGCCACACAGATTCCTGAACTTGGTCAGTTCATGCAAGTATAGCCCAATCACATGGTCCGACCACGCGCCAATCTCTCTCTCAGTCACGATCCCCTCCCTCCACCCCACCAGGACGCAATGGAAACTTTACTCAATCACCCAGACATACGAAACCTAATAGAGGAATCCCTAGGCCAATACTTTGAGCTCAACGTACACCCAGACTCCACATTCCCCGTAATCTGGGAAGCACATAAGAGTTCAATAAGAGGTACATTCATCCAGGCAGCGTCTAGACTCAAGAAACAAAGGGAATCTCGCACACTCAGTCTCACCAAGGAAATCAGGAACTTGGAAGAGACACATAAAAACGACCTCAAACTCGCCACATACAAGGCACTGGTAGAAAAAAGGACTGAGCTAAACACGATCCTTAACGTCAACACTAAACACGCCCTAGCCAAAACGAGAAGCACATACTACGCACAAGGGGGTAAATGTGGACGCCTTCTGGCTCACGCCTTAAAGAAGCAAAGGGAACACACATTCATAGCAGCCATTCGAAACAAAGAGGGAACACTATCACACTCAATGACAGACATTCTCAAAGAATTTAAAGAATTTTATTCCTCGCTATACAATCTGAGACAGACCCCTCCAGATGCAGCAGACATCCAAAACTTTCTCTCCCACAAGATACACAATACCCTACCACATAATATCCGGGACTCGCTAGAGCATCCCATCTCAAAAGACGAATGTCTACAAGCGATAAAACACCTACCATTAGGGAAGAGCCCAGGCCCTGATGGGCTGACAGCCAAATATTAAAAGACATTTGCCTCCCTATTAAAACTCTTTCAACGCGCTACTTAACACAAACACCCTCCCCCCACAAGCCTTAAACGCAACAATCACACTTCTTCCTAAGCATGGGAAGGATCCGACCCAATGCGCCAGCTACAGGCTGATCTCCTTGATAAACATAGACCTGAAGTTGTTCACAAAAATTCTAGCCAATAGACTTCGCCCACTGTTACCAGGACTGATACACGCTGATCAATCAGGTTTCATCCCAAGCAGAGAAGCTAAACACAACACCACGAAATTACTGAACCTCATATACAAAGCCATGAGGGGGAACTGTCCCAGTCTACTCTTGTCCATTGATGCGGAAAAAGCGTTTGACAGGGTAGACTGGACCATGCTATCTCACACCCTACAATACATGGGATTTGGCCCAAACTGGCTAAAATGGTTTAACGCTATTTACTCACAACCCACGGCTAATATTCGCGTCAACAGTCAACTGTCAGAGCCAGTAAAAATAACAAACGGCACTAGGCAGGGTCCCCTATCACCTCTACTGTTCGTCTTGGTCCTGGAGCCCTTCCTTCAGGGAATCAGGGACAACACTCAAATTAGAGGCATCGAGGCAGGCAAGACAGAGCATAAGATTGCAGCATTTGCAGACGACTTGCTCTTTACAATTTCAGATCCCATAGCATCAATACCTCACCTAATGGCTGAGATGGACTCATACAGCAAGATTTCCAATTTCAAGGCAAATCTCAGTAAATGCGAGATACTGCCACTACACGTTACCTCTCAAGATAAGGCCTCTCTACAACAAGACCACCCATTTATCTGGGCACCCCACCGTATAAAATACCTAGGAATTCACTTAACCAAAGAGGCATCCCACCTGTTCGGGAGCAACTTCCCGGACTTGATGAAAAGCATAAACTCGGATCTCAATGCCTGGAACAAACCTCAATTTGGTTGGTTCTGCAGGCTGAACATCCTAAAAATGAATGTTCTACCGAGAATACTATATGTCCTGCAGGTACTGCCAATCATGCTGCTGAAGTCATGGTTTGCGCAAGTTCGAAAAACACTTACAACATACATTTGGGCGCACAAAAACCCACGGCTCGCATACTCACTCCTCACGAGATCAAAAGAAGAAGGAGGCCGGGGCCTCCCCGACATAGAGAGATATCACCAAGCTATCCTCCTGACTAAATTATATGACTGGACATGCCCACACTCCACTACACAATGGATAAATATAGAGGATACCTTCCTCAGAGCACCCATCTACACAATATCATGGCTCAAATCCGGACAGTCGCTCGTACGACACGCCCCCCCATCCTACCATCTCACCAACCCTCCGTATGTGGGCGAAAATGAGAACACATCAATCGATATCCCCATACCCCTCACCACTTTATCCACTCACCCATAATCCTTTATTCCAACCGGGAGAGGATGGTAAGGCATTCAAACATTACCATAACTCAGTCTACCTACCACTAGAAGCCATCATTGACGACACGAGTCACCAAATCAAACCCCTGCATGCCATCACAGATAGACAAAACGCAATACAACTATTCCAATATCGACAGCTCACTCACTTTGTACACGCAGGTCCGCTAGCCCACAAACCATTCCGCACACATACACAATTTGAACAAATATGCAAAAACCACACCTTAAAGAAAAAACTCATCTCAGTGATGTACACAACAATTGCAAAGACACAACCCCACCACCCACTGGTGTTCACTTCGTCATGGGAAAAAGAACTAAACATTTCACTCCCACCTGAAACATGGTGTACTATCTTTAAACAAATTCAAAGATCAGCTCGAAACACCACAATCCAAGAGAGTAACTACAAAAGAATAGCGAGATGGCATTATACCCCGACAAAGCTAAAATCCCTCTTTCCCTCCCACTCACCCCACTGCTGGAGATGCCAGGCACCTGAAGGCAACACAGCACATATCTGGTGGAGTTGCTCAGTAATCAATCGTTACTGGAAACACATTCATGGAATACTACAATCGTCCCTGAACACCCATATCCCATTCACCCCTGAACTTTTTATCTTTCTAATTCCCCCCCAAAACATACCGAAACTGAC